CGAGCATATGGTCGCTTTATCTGGATGATACTATACATAATACCATGATCGACTGTGTCGAAGAATTGTGCCCTTGGCCTTGGGCTGTGTGTGCACTTGCTTGGGTCTAGACGACAGAATTGAGATTCGTGGTTCACTTCTTGATTCTATCCTGACACTCACTCCGCTCGCCAGAGCAGACGCTTCGCGTCGTACTACGAGCCCTCGTCCAACCTAAGTTCTTACAGGTGACTGTAGTGAATATGGTGAAGGCATAGTCTTACCCCATCAGTAATGGTGGAAGGTCGAGGTTCCAAGGGTTCGGTTGTTCGCCGATGAAAATGGTAAACTCGTTGTCGTGTCAGACGAGTAATCTCTGACCTTATTACCAGCCAAAAGTATTAAAGGGATTGCCATCAGAGTAGGAGCATCATGACATCTTTCGATGTCTCACTTAAAAGCATTGGTTGGAGCAAGAAAAGTGAGAAAAAGTAAACGAAAAGAATAACAAGAAGTCAAAAATACAGAAAAACTTCCATAAGTTCCTAATTTATCTGAAGAGCTTAAACTGGAGCTTAATCAGCAGGTGCGAAGCACAAAAAATCATAATGGGATCTCTCTCCTAAGTACCCAAATTCATGTCGTGAAATGGAAGGCACACAATCAAGTCTCTTGGGTTAGGCGCGAAGCGCACGGAAAAGTATACCGAAGAAGGATACACCCGAGACTCATTCTCCGCCGAGCCCCTATCAAGGAGCTTGTAGAACGACTTAAGAAGTATGGATTTGTAAGACGCACTTACAAAGGTTATATCCTTCCTATGCCAATAAGAATTATGATCCCGATGGACCACGCAGATATACTTGCATTTTACAATGCAAAAACCCGTGGCATTTTCAACTACTACTCCTTTGCGGCTCCCCTGGCGGGCCTGAGTCGTAGTATACACTTATTGTGGTCTTCATGTGGTCTTACATTATCAACTAAATACAAACTTAGGTCTTTGAGAAAAGGTGTCAGACTCTATACATCGTGTTACCACTTGGCAGAGTTCTGTGTTCTTAATAAACAGTCGCTCCCCCCTGTTATGTGCCACTTTTGTCTGTTTTTGCAAAGAAAAGCACTCCTTCTCCCGAAGTTACAGAGTCATTTTGCCAAGTTCCTTCAACATGGTTATCTCAAGCGCCTTAGTATACTCTACTTGTTCACCTGTACAAGTATCGTGAGGGAAAGGTGAAAAGAACCCTAAGAAAGGGAGTGAAATAGAAAACGTGAAACCCGATGCAAGCAATAATTTTTGGTTCACCAAACACTTCTACATTTTATACTCCAAAATTGAATCTGTTCTGCCGAACGAAGGCCTTGCCTTCGCATTTGTTTGTTTCTTGGAGATCCGTCAGCTCTGCGCCTCTTTCTTATTTACAAAGGGCCCAGTCAGTCTCGTATCCGATCTTGGATTCATCTAGACAGCCAGTGGAGAGTGATGTTGCAGGTTTTCACCTTAGTGAAATGTAATGGGCATAATCCGCAGGAAACCAACATATGTCTGTGTAGGATCCTCAGAGACTATATGTGAAACAACTTCAGGCGGTTAATTGAGATCTACAGACTCTCGAAAAACTAGTTTCTTCTTTTTTACCACATTGCCTACTTTATTACCTTAGGGAATCCCCTTTCTAAATACTCTTATTCTACTTTCATCTAGAGCTGCTGTAACTTGGGCTCATCATGCTATATTAGCTGGTTTCAAACAACAAGCCCTTTATGGCATATTAGCCACTATTCTGACAAAGATGAAAGGAAAAAATCGTTGTTTAACTGCTGGTACACCACTTATTTGTTCATTGACTAAGTTTAGAACGAATTCATAAATCATTTCAACAAAAGATTGCCAAGCATTGGGTACTAAATGACCTCCATTCATGGTGACAAAATGAAATAAAAGCAAAACTAAACTAATAGTGAGTAGCATAAACAAAGATGAATTAGTAAAAGAAAGATACAAGTTTCTTATAGATAGAATTAGCTATATTTTATGTTTTTATTTGGCAAATTTCTCAAGACAAAATAGCTGACAGATCTAATATGGAGACTTGAAGGATAAGAAAGATAACTAATAAAGCGCCCATTTCAAAGTGTTGAAAATGCGCTTGTACATGAAAAATGTGCTTCCAATTGGTTAAAAAACCTCCAATCCATTTATGATTTTGAGTAAGGAAGCCATCGTATTGTTTCAACAAATTGGAATTTAGCTGTAGAATTCTCAAATTGTATCCAAAACAACAGAGAGTACAAAAAAGTGATCAAAGAGGTGATTGATGGCTGTTTTGTTATATGAACCTCAACAAATTCAATTTCCATACCATATAGATTTAGATGTTTTGAATTAAAGGCAACCAACCGTCAGGTCAGGCGACCAATAAGACACTAACCCCACCACCGCGTCCGGGGGGACGCGTGGATGAGCTGAAGACTGGAACTACGAAGCAAGTAGAATAGAGAGTCGTATGATAGGTGACTATCTCGTTCGGTTCGAAGAGGACTCGAGTACCGCTGGCATGTTTTGCTCAGTGGGGAAAAGTCCGATCGTCTCCAATTTCCCCGTGAGCCCACGTAGCTCAGGTGGTAGAGCATTCCCTTGGTGAGGGAAAGGCCTCCGGTTCAAGTCCGGTCGTAGGCTCCGTCTGAAAATTCGATTCATTTGTTTGAAACATGAACTGGAAGAAAAAAGGAAAATTGGAGATGAATTCAATTCTGGAGTAGACAATGTAGAAGTGTTTGGTGAACCAAAAATGATTTTCGAACGGCTAACAATCTGGCGTGTAAACTTTGTGCCAGTCTTGTCTGAAGTGCACGCATCTTACCATAATTCTTTGAAAGCGAGGCCTTGTAAATCCTGGTCTGGAATCTGAAGACAAAACTCTCGACTGAAGTCCAAGGAATTTTGCCCCAGTAATCCGTTTGAACGTTTAAATACATTCTACTCATATTTCAATTCACAAGTATTACATAAATCCTAAGTCTCCAATTAAGTGGGGCTTATTAGAGAATCCTCTTCCTATCCAACGTATATATAGCTTGGCTAGCCTACCTCTTTCTCTGGTGTCAATCGAGGCGCGTTTATGGTGGACTGATTGTCATGCCAGTGGCATTGCCGGGTAGCTACGTAAGTTCAAATTGACAGCAAGTAACATTAACTCAATTGACATTAACATAATAAGGATATTCTTTCTATTTAAAAAGATTCCCCAAATACCTAAAAGAAAAAGAATCATTGAAAATGTTAAATATTTCACTAAATCCATAATCCGATATTTGTATTTATCCCCATTATCCCCGATAGTCGGAATCGTAATTAGTACGAGTAAGCTTCACACCTCACGGTGCTTTTACTTCTCGCCTATTCAAGTGATGGTCTTTCACTTTGTATGATAACTTTTTTCAAGAGGGGTCGAGGGCCGAAGGCGCGTCTTGAAGGCTGCTCTCCGATCGCCACCGGATCTTCGCAGTGAGCCTGATTAATTTCAACTAAATTTAATTAATTCACCATTAATCTTAATCACCCCTTTTCGAAATTATAAAAGTTTACCCCGAACGTAAATCCGAATAAATTTCATCAGAATTTATTTTTCTCGGAATTAATTATTCTTTTTCTTCATTTGGAAATTCCTGAAAATTTTGCCTTCGTATTTTATTGAAAAATACATTATCCAATTAATTTCGAATAATTTCAAATTAATTTATTCAAAATTAATTCTTGCTCTGTGATTCTTTGCTACCTTCATTGCTAAATCACTTGATGACGCTCTACTCTTGTAAATAGGAATTGTCCCCCCCACCTCCACATGCCACCACGCCAAACCAAGAACTCCCAACGCGCCGCCGCCGCTGCTGCCGATGCGACCGCTGCTGCGGCATCCTCCACATCCATTCCGACCGCGTCCTCCACCCCCTCTTCCGCCGACATGACCGCATCCTCCATCAACATGTCTGACATCCGCACCGACTCCGTCGATAGCATCGACCGCAACCTCGCAGGCGAACAACCACTAGCAAACACCGCCACCCCTGACCTCTCCACCATCCTCCACGCATTCAACACCCTCCAAACCTCTGTCACTGCCTCTCTCGACGACATAAAGGCCAACATGTCGTCCATATGCGACTGCGTCACCACGCTCGAAGGGAACAACCCCTCCATCACAGTCGTCACCACGGCCGCACCTCCCTCCTCCACAACGCAAACCACGACCTCCTCCAATCCTACCACATCCACCAACCCTTCCTCCTCAACCCTACCCCCCCCCTCATCTGGCGCTTCCAGCACACCGCCTCATTCCTCGCCTAACCACGTCACCCCTCTTCCCCCCCCGCACTCCCGTACTATCTCACAACCCATCATGAC